TGGTCAACTGTCTAACAAGCATCACCACTGCTGATAAAGCTAAAGCCCTAGTTGACCGACTGCGCAGTCTGCTCTCTGCTGGAGGGTTCGATATAAGGCAGTGGGCCAGCAACGATCCAACTGTTTTGGAACACCTTCCTGCTGAAGCCAAAGCGGCTAGTTCCGAGCTGTGGCTTTCCCAATCCCGACAAGACCCAGAGGAACCAGCTTTAGGCCTACGTTGGAACTGCCTCTCTGATCACCTCGGCTACAGACACCGACCGGTAGAGTATTCTCAGCCGACCCTGAGAAACATCTACAAGGTGATGGCCACGCAGTATGACCCACTGGGGTATCTTATCCCATTCACCACTCGAGCCAAGATCCTCATCCAGGACCTGTGGAAAGTGGGAGTCGACTGGGATGAGCAGATTCGACCCAAGGCTCTACTGGAAATATGGACACAGTGGGAGAGCGAGCTGGTCTACCTCCCACAAGTGGAAATCCCAAGATGCTATGTTCCAGCAACCTTGGCCCCTGAAGTGCCTAACAGACAAGCGCACATCTTCTGCGATGCCTCCGAAAGAGCCTACGGAGCAGTCGAGTATATTCAAACTCCCGATAACCAGGGCAATGTTCACATTGCATTTATGATGGCTAGATCTCGTGTTTGCCCTCGGAAACAGCTGTCAATGCCACGCCTTGAACTGTGCACAGCTCTAGCCGGGGCTCAGCTGGCTAAGGTCACAATGACAGAGCTGTCATTCTCTCCCCAGCAGATAACACTATGGACCGACTCAACTACAGTGTTGACATGGCTGAAATCAGACTCAAGTCGATACAAGGTTTTTGTTGGAACGAGGGTTGCTGAAATTCAAGAACTTACCGAAGGGTCAACTTGGCGGTATGTCAGCACCTCTGATAATCCAGCAGATGACCTTACCCGCGGGAAGACACTCCATGAGCTCAGTCAGCCCAACCGGTGGAGTCAGGGTCCACAATTTCTTCACCAGCCTTTTGACACCTGGCCAGAGCTACAAATGGAAGTAGCTCAGGAAGAAGATGAGGATGAGCTACGCAAGACAGTGTTTTGTGCAGCAGCTACCTGTCCTTCTCATGAAGTGGATGTTACTAACATCGACAACTGGGATGACCTCGTTAGAGCCACTCATATGAGCCTTCACGGGGCGGCCAAAGACCTGGTGAGCCCCACCATGACAGCTGCAGATGTACAAGAAGCTGAACTACATCTCCTACGACAATCCCAAAGTGAGACCTTCCAGGAAGAGGTGAAACTCCTTGCTGTGGGGAAGTCCATCTCCAAACAAAGCCGTCTAATCATGCTTGCTCCTGAGTATGATATAGCTGTCGGGCTGATAAGAGTGGGAGGCAGGCTGCGAAGAGCAGAAGATCTGGATCTAGATTCCATGCATCCAATTATCCTTGACCCAAAACATCATGCTACCAGGCTCCTCATCAAGAAATATGACAACCAGCTCCTGCATCCAGGTCCCGAGCGTGTGTTCGCTGAAATTCGGAGAAGATACTGGATCCTACGCGGAGGAGAATCCATCAAACGGCATCAGTACAGCTGTGTGGAATGTCAAAAGTGGCGTGCTAGTCCTGTAGTCCCACAAATGGCAGACCTTCCCCCAGCAAGACTCCGTCTATACAAGCCACCTTTCTGGTCTACCGGAGTGGACTGCTTCGGCCCTTACAATATCAAGGTGGGTCGACGCACAGAGAAGCGATGGGGGATCATCTTTAAATGCATGACAACGAGTTGTGTGCACTTCGACCTGCTGGAGAGCATTGACACTGATGCTTTTCTGATGGGATTACGTCGCTTCATCGCTCGACGTGGCAAGCCCTTTGAAATCCTGGCCGACAGAGGGACCAATTTCCGAGGTGGAGCGGCTGAACTACAGACCAGCTTCCAAACTTTAGAAGCACCTATCCAAAAGCAGCTGGCTGGACAGAAAATAGAGTTCCGATTCAACCCGCCAGGTTCCCCTCATTTTGGGGGGACATGGGAACGGGAGATCAAGTCAGTGAAGGCAGCCCTTCGAGTGGTACTGCAGGACCAAACTGTCACAGAATCTGTTCTGCAGACGGTTTTGATTGAGGTGGAGGGAATTCTCAATGCGAAGCCACTGGGATATATATCCTCGGATGCTACTGATCCAGACCCAGTCACCCCGAACTTACTACTCATGGGACGTCGTGATGCATCGCTTCCACAAGCCATTTACGCTTCCAGTGAACTCCTGGGCAGACGGCGATGGCGACACAGCCAGGTCCTGGCAGACCACTTCTGGTCCAACTTTATTCGCTACCATCTTCCTAACCTACAGAAGCGACACAAGTGGCACAAGAATACAGAAAATCTTGCAGCTGGACAGGTTGTGATGGTGGTCGATTCACAACTGCCCAGGGCCCAGTGGCCGATCGGGAGGATTGTCAAGACATGTCCAGGCTCAGACGGTCGAGTCAGGGCAGCTGAAGTGAGGATAAAGGGACAGACTTATCTTCGACCAGTTGTGCACCTGGTGCGACTGCCAGCTTGGGAAGATGAAGATGACTCTGGCTGAACACCTGATAAGACTTTCCTCTAGTTTTCGAATTTATAACTAAATTCGGGGGCGGCTATGTCAGAAAGGGTTATAGTTATGGCAGTTTTACAAGATACATTTGTAAAGTTACCCCACTCTTATTTTGGTGGTCCAGTTTGTGACATCAATTCCTCTAGATAGTCACTTCCTGTAAAGCCGTTTCTACCATTTTGTCTAAGCTGTTGGTGATGGCAGACAGCCGCGTGTGCGTTCATGACTGATATGTAAGTTTGGCCAACCGTAGCACCTCTATGGATACATAAATAACCTATAAGTTCATTCAGTTTCCTTTATGTCTGTCTGGACATATTGTTTGGATTATTTAGAGGGAGTTCCTACAGTTTAATTGGTATCAGTTGCTATTCTCGCTTGTAGTCCTCATTTCACTTCTCTTAATTTGTGTTATGTGTGCTAAATACTAGTTTATTTGAGTTTTATTCCATTTACTCCATGTGTATCCATCCATGACGTCAGTTCAGTTGAGGTGTGGTATAATGCCAGGCTAATTGGCAGCATGGTTTAGTAGTGTGGTACTTGCAACAGCAGTACCTTGCTTTGACCACCAGAGGTCCCTGGAGACCATATAATTTGTCAGTGCCTCTGAGCCTGGAAGTCACAATATTTACTCTGTGTAACCCTTGAATGTGCATCATTTGGGAATATATTTGTTTTTGCTTTGTCTTAAATGTTGGCATATTTATTTCACAATTTGTACAGTCCTTTTACATCATTCTTTGTATTTATTTTCCAGACCACACGGAACCACAGAAATGTACAGATGTCCATAGTTCAACTGTCATTAAATACGTAAAACTGTCTCTCCGTGCCCTGCTCTCTGACCGGAGCCCTTATCTTGAAGATACTGTCAGATCAGCAAATAACTTCCAGAGTTCCCACTCTATCACAATGCCTGAATAAAAGGTATAACAGTGTAAGGTGTTTCAGTAGTTATAGCGCCCCCTGCTGAAAATACACAATTCACCAGTCATGTAGAAAACTAACAAAATACACTTATTTATTATCCAAAATGGTAAATATTATATTCATCTTGGGAAAATATCACACTCACAAGAATAAATGGAAAAAGCCTAACATAAATCATTTAAAAAATGAAATTTGACAATTTAAAACATCTCTAAAGGTATATTATCAGAAAAATAATTAATCTATATCTGAATTGCACAAGACAATTTCTGAGTCGCTTTTCCTTTAAGTTAAAAATAGAAATTTGAATCACGCTTGAATTAGTAGGAGATGCACACCCCTAAGTTGTATTTTAGTCATCTTTTGTTTGTTTTTGTTTTTTTTTCTCTAAATGTATTTTTTTTTGGAAGATTTGTTACAAGTTCTTATGGAAGCCTATTCCCGACACTCAGATAAAAACAATTAGTATCTCATAATTATGACTTAGCTATCTTATAATAATGAGATACTATCTCATTATTATGACTTAGCTATCTCATAATTAAGACTTAGCTATCTCATTATTATGAGATAGAGTCTAATAATAATGAGATAGCTAAGTCTTAATTATGAGATACTAAGTCATAATAGTGAGATAGTATCTCATTATTATAAGATAGCTAAGTCATAATTATGAGCAAAACATTTTTTTGTCTGAGTGGCGGGAATGGACTTCCGTAGGTTCTAAATGCAATTTGGTTTCCTCAAAAAAGTTTTGTACTGTAATAGATATTACTCTCAGTTCATTGAAATGTATATTATACTGTTAACTGAATTATATGCAAAAATAAAAAAAGACTTACTAACGCTTTTCTGACGTGAAGAAACAATAAAATTACCTGAAAACCATAAAATGTTGAGTTTAACAGTTCATCATGTCTGTAATTACAATAATAAATACTGAAAAATAACAAAAATCTAAATAAATAAATTGAAATTATAGTCACTTTTGGATTTGTTATGAGCATTTTTGTATAACAAAACAATGTAGGAATCAAATTCAATTTGGGAAACAATTTCAAAAACGTTTTGTACTGAAAACAAGTATTAAATTATTTGGCTTTCTTACTGGAGTTGGGGTGAGTCTGGTTTTATTCTCTGTATTTTATTGTCTCTACTGCTACTGTCTGGATATGACACAGTTTTATAATTTCTTAGATTTGACAGTTTTTTTAATCTTTTTATTATTTTTTTTATATTTAAAATCTGCACTTTCGGCGTGATAAGTGTAAGAAGGTGCTTTATAAAAATGATGATCAAATCCAGCTTTTAACAGTTTAATGACACTCCGAACAAAAGCGATTAAATGTGATCAAGTCAGCTTGCCTGTCATTTAAATACAAGGTTTACATTTTTAAACTAGAAAATAAATCCTAAATCACTTCTCGTTGCTTCGAACTAAACTCCACCTACTTCCGGGTTTGTGGTCACGTGAGAGCACTTCCATGTCACCTGACCCCGGTCCCCAGTAGTAGGTTTATGATTTTGCAGCGGCTCAGAGGCGCAGAAAGGTCTCCGATCAGATTGAATCAGCAAGTTGGATTTTAAAAGGTTGAAACTTTTATTTTATCGTTTTTTATTCATTTTCCTCCAAACAGAAGACCGAGAACGTCTCTGCAGCCCAGTAAGTTCAACCGGGCCAGGTGTTGTACTTTATATCGGACTCTTTTAGTTTTGACACATTTTTATTATATTAACGCTGTTATTAAAGTTGCTTAGGCTTTATAAACTACGCAGGTGAGAGAGCTGCAGGCGGGGCACAGGAAGTCCAGGTTATTTTCTCTTAGTTCGTCATGTTCTTGAAGAACCATAATGATCCGAGTCAGGTGACAGTTTTAAACATCAGTGTGAGATCTCACCCAGCAGGTTGTAGCAGACACACCTAGTCAGGTGAGAGTCCGGAGACTCTTGAAGGCACCGCCGTCATCACGATCAGTGTGTTTAATTAAACACAACGTTTAGAAGTGTGTGTGTTTTTAGGTTTAGTTCTTGTCATTAAACATCTGCTGATGTTTGTTCTTTTAGGAATGAATCTGGCTGTGCTCGTCTTTGCCTCCGCGGCCACCCTGACCACCTTTGCCCTTGACAACGGGCTGATGAGGACCCCTCCCATGGGCTGGTTGGCATGGGAACGGTACCGCTGTGACATCGACTGTGAACATGACCCCAAAAACTGCATCAGGTACAAAGGATTTATGCAGCAAACACACACCGTGATGATCAATGTATCAGACAAAGATCCGGGTGTAGTTACGCTACTTAAATGAATGAAAATAAACTTTTTAGACTGGTGTTGAAAAAGTTTTTGTGATGCAGTTGAGATGAACTAGATATTTGCTAGTGAATGAAGCTTGTTAAGCTCATCGTGACACTCCACTCTCGTTCCAGTGAGAATCTGTTCATCGACATGGCAGATAGACTCTTTGAGGACGGCTGGAAGGAACTCGGCTACGTCTACGTGAACATAGACGACTGTTGGTCCTTGAAGACCAGAGACAAGCAAGGACGGCTGCAGCCTGACCCTAAGAGGTACACTAAAAACATCACTTTATAGCATCTGTTAGATTATTATTGTTATTATTATTATTTTTATTATTTTATTTTTTTTTTTTACATAAAATAAAAAGCATTTAACTCTTAGAAAATACGTTTTCAAATAAAATAAATTTCACAAAATTATATTGATCATTATTTGAAAAAATGTCGTTTATTTTCCCAGCTTCTTTTATAGATTGGGGTAAAAAAATTCTAATAATACTGACTTCACTTATTTTATTCACTTCACTGAATGGAGTTCAGCTCCAGAAGTAAAACCCAGGCCTGGCTACTGCCAGAACTGTAGAATAAAGAAATCCCTTCAACAGAGAACCCGAAGTTGGCCCAAACATGAAGTTGGCTTAAATATCTCAAAAAGCAACATATAAAGTTTCATTTTGAAGAGATTTCTGTAGAACATACATGGTTAAGTCAAGCACGGAGGTGGAAGTGTGATGGTCTGAGGCTGCTTTGCTGCTTCAGGACCTCAAGAACTTGCTTTAATTGATGAGAACATGAAATTCGCATTCTAAAAGAACGTGCATAAGGGGAATCTCTGACATTTGACCTTAAATATGTTGGTAATGCCAACAAAACTCCAGCATTGACACATTCATGTTTGGTTGCAGTTGTTGCTGTAGAGGTTCCAGCCAGCTGTTAGGTTTAAGGGTAAATCACTGTTTCCAGTTTGAGTCAGCTAAAAGGAATCAGACTCGGCACTGGTTAGAATAAATACTCCCCCATGCACATGTGTGTTACATTGTCATGGATTTTATCAATATGTTTATCAATAACCCATTTCCTATGGCGAAGAGAGGAATGAACAACAAGTCAAACAGTTATAACTGTGGCAAGATGCACGAGGCAAATGCACCGAACATCCGGTCACAGAGTTTATTTGTAGAGAGGGCGAGTCAGAGGGAGAGAGAGAGATTGTGTGTGTGTGTGGGGGGAGTCAAGAATGTGTGTGTGTGTGTATGTGTGTGTGTGTGTGTGTGTGTGGGGGGGGGGGGGAGTCAAGAATGTGCGTGTGTGTGGGGGGAGTCAAGAATGTGTGTGTGTGTGTATGTGTGTGTGTGTGTGTGTGTGTGTGTGTGTATGTGTGTGAGTGTGTGTGTGTGAGAGAGAGAGAGAGATAGAGAGGGAGAGAGAGACAGAGGGGGGGTGGGTGTTAAAATAATAATAAAAAAAAACGACCGGAGCGGAGGCAGTGACCGACGCATGCCGTTTTCAGCTCCGTCTTGTCAAATGCACCACGTACGTTACGAAAAAAGTTACTTTAAATATTCAACCGAAAAAGAGGCGAGCTGAAGAAAACGTAGGGAGCTCTGAAGAAACGTGAGCAACATTGACTACGTTTACATGCAGCCAATATCCGGGTTATGATCGGGTTAAGGTCGGGATTCGGGTTTCTGAGTTGATCAGAATAACCCGTTTACAAGCACAAATAGAAAGAGTTACCCCTAACTTGCATAACCCGATTTAAATGCGGACGTTGGGGTAGCGTCAGGACGTATGGACTACGTCCAGACGCAATATGCGTCATTTCCGGTTCTTCTTGTTCCGGTATCCGTGAAAACAACAACATGTTTCCCAGTTCGGAAGAGATAGCGACCGCGTTTGTTTGTGCTTTAGTTTCCTCGTCACTCCAAAAGTGTGGTGCTGTGCCGCGACTCGCCATGTTGCTCCCAACTTGTTGTTTACTTCCGGTGTTCTGGCGCATACAAGACGTCTCGCTACTCAAAAGACCAAGATTCCTTGCGAACAGAGCATGCGCAGAACACACGCTTTGATGGGGATATCCCGGTATGCGTTTACACGGCCAAACATTCGGGTTAGAAAAGGGTTACCCCAGGTGTAGTAACCGGGTTTTTAAAAACCCGGTTATGAGCATATCCGGGTTTTTGGCGGTGTTTACATGGACCTGCGGAACCGGGTCATTGTGAATATTCGGGTTTTAAAAGGGTTACTGGCTGCATGTAAACGCACTGAATGAAGCACAGAGAGATCCGTTACTGTCTGTGTGTGTGCGTGGGGCAGATCAGAGTTTAGTGTGTAGGGAGGGGCGGGCGCTCCATGTGACTGGCCAATCACAGAGGGTGAAGGCAGTCAGTTACCCAATGTGGATTTTTTTTCAGCACGATTCGAGATATTTACGAGTTTTACTCGTTTCATGCTCGTTTTCGTCAAAAATGCTTTATCCGTACGCTCATCCCTTGCTGTAACCACCCTGCCCTGCCTCCTCCTCCTCGCTGCCTACCGGCTGTGATCACAAGCAACAACAGAGTAGTTCCCGCTGCTTCTTCGGGAAATGGCGCCAAAAAAAAAAAAATCTATAAAACGGGATCTTGCAGGCGTGGCACTGGGATTTCAGCCCGCCACGGCTACGCCTATGTCAGGAAAACACTGCAGTTGATTGAGTCCATGATCGAGAATTAATAAACATAAATTTTTGCATCACACACATTATGACAATTTAATTCTTAATTTAAAAAGAAATGGATGAAATGATGTGAAATCTTTTTGCACCATCGTTGTTTGCGAATACTTTCAGTGTAAGATGACAACAGTGTGGTTTTTACAGTGCAATAAGCCTACGGGCCAATAAAACAAAGAATAGCAATGTTCATGTCACATAACTCAGCAGAACACTCGACTCAGCAGGTTACAGGAGGTATCTTCATACGCAGAGTCAGCACTAATCAGTGTTTACTTTTGTATCTACGGTGGAAAACTCCCGGTTCTGCATCAGTGACATCTGCTCTAAAACACTTTTCAGGTTTCCAGGGGGAATCCGTAAGCTGTCCCGCTACATGCACGACCGAGGTCTCAAACTGGGCATCTACGGCGACATGGGCAACTACACCTGCATGGGCTACCCCGGCACCCCGCTGGATAAGATAGCTGTAGACGCTCAGACGTTCGCTGACTGGGAGGTGGACATGTTTAAATTTGATGGCTGCTACTCCAACGCCACAGATCAGGAGCAGGGTAAGCAGGAGAGTGTCATTCGAGGTCATTGTCTCAGTGTTAACAGGTTTACTGACTCTTATCACTGTCCCTGGCAGGATATCCTCTCATGTCAAAGGCTTTAAATGCTACAGGGCGCCCTATTGGCTACTCCTGCAGCTGGCCTGCATACCAAGGGGGGCTGCCACCAAAGGTATAAGCAACACATATTTTGTGTTCCTGAAAAGGCCAGAGTTCATGTGTTTGCTGCTACATCAATGGAAACGGATGTTTTCAGGTAAATTACACCCAGCTGGGTCAGCTCTGCAATCTGTGGCGTAATTACGGTGACATCCAAGACTCCTGGGACAGCGTGCTGAGTATTATCGACTGGGTTTTTGAAAACCAGGATGTTCTGACCCCTGCGGCAGGACCTGGAAGGTGGAACGACCCTGACATGGTTTGTCTCACCCACATCCAACTCTTAACCCTCTGGAGGCAGGCGTTGCAGATTAGCAACGTTAAAACCTACCTACCTGGTTACTCCACATACGTGTTTCATGAGCGTTTTGAACCGCCTTCTCCATGTTTTGAAAAAAATGCACGTGAGAGGAAACACCCAGTTATCCTGGTGCATGCTCCGTTTACAAGCAGCCGTCGGCCTTGCAGCTAACTTCTTCTAACAGTAAACGAATTTCTCCAACTAGCATGCCGAACTTTAGCTTACCTGTCGAGCAGAAAATCAACAACAGGCGTCTCTGAGGAGCCCAATTTTTGCTTTGCGCATGCGCAGGAAGTGAAAACTACCCAGCAACGAGAACGTACGACGACGGCCTTACGTGAATGGTTCACCAGAATGATTGACAGTTACGCGGACCAATGGTTCAGATGATCTACCCGGACAAAAAAAATCCTCCGTCATACCTTTAATGCCTTCATAATTCATAGCAACTAGCAAAAGAATACCTTAGTTGCTTTCTAGGAATCCAATTTAAAATGATCATCTGCTAAATTGTCTGTAGAAACACTATTCAGGATCATCCCTTGAGTTTTTCCAACTATTTATGTCGGACTGACTTATAGCAGCTTCCTAAGGTACGTAGAGCTAACTGCTACCAAATAATTAAATTTAATTGACTTTAAAAAATCCTCTGAACCGTATCAGGTGCAAGACAGAAAATGAACAATTCAGCATCCAAATGTCAAAGTAAAATCATTGAAAGTTTTTCAGAAAAATATTTTATTTAAAGGTACACTGTGGAAGAATAAAGTAAGAATTCTACAGTGAAATAATCCCAAAACAGTCTAATGTCTCAACCATGTTTGAAGGAAGGATTTAACTGAAACATATTGCATTCTCAGCCGGCTGAGGGGGTTGTCAGTTTTTCTCATACAAAATAAAGGAAGGAGAGATGTAGCTACTGTTTACCATCAGTGAGTGTGAGGTTGCCATGTCTCCTGTGAGCTAACGCTTGCAGCGCCGGCATTTGTAATTTGACTACGGCCACCACAAAGCTGGAGATTTGTTTAAAGAACCAAACCAGAAGGTATTTCATGTATGGCGCAGTATGGGGTCCAAAATTAAGACTACTGCCCAGCAGCAGGAGGCTATATAAATTCCGAAGCTAACTACTGATCTGATTAATGATAAGCTGGCGCCGGTAACTGAGAGGCTGGCGCTGCTTACTGAGTAATAGCACCTTTGCCGGCGTTATTACTAGATACGCTAGGGACTAGCAGCCCTCGGCTTGTCATTGACTGGTTCACGCACTCCCTCTGCTGTCTATTAGCATGGATAGGCTGGCGTTAGCATCGGAGAGGCTAGCCATTAGCGTGCCTAGGCTGGCCACTAGCTGGATATCCTACCCCCTTGACGGACCTTAGGCATGGATAGGCTGGCATTAGCGTCGGAGAGACTAGCCATTAGCATGTCTCGGAGAGTCGCTAGTCAGCTAGTGGCCAGCCTAGGCACGCTAATGGCTAGCCTCTCCGATGCTAACGCCAGCCTATTCATGCTAATGGTCCGTCAAGGGGGTAGGAAATCCAGCTAGTGGCCAACCTAGGCACGCTAATGGCTAGCCTCTCCAATGCTAACACCAGCCCGTCCAGGCTAACGCTAACCTATCCATGCTAATAGACAGCAGAGGGAGTGTGTGAACCATTCAATGACCAGCCGAGGGCTGCTAGTCCCTAGCGTATCTAGTAATAACACCGGTAAAGGTGCTATTTCTCAGTAAGCAGCGCCAGCCTCTCAGTTACCGGCGCCAGCTTATCGTTAATCAGATCAGTAGTTAGCTTCAGAATTGATATAGCCTCCTGCTGCTGGGCAGTAGTCTTAATTTTGGCCCCCATACCGTGCCATATAATATTGGGTGAAGCAGGCAAGAGGCTAATGTTGAGCTAACAACGCTAACGATGAATGATCAAGCTGCTTTTTCAATGATCAACAACTCAATATAACAATGAAGTCTGAAGTGAATAATGAGTCAATCGTGGCATTTTGTTTCCTTACATTTGTCCTTCAGAGCCGTAACAGCAAGCTAACAGCAAAACAACACTTCCTCTATACCACAGGCATGCTATCGTAATAAGTGTAGTAAGTACTCCCTACCGTAAAACACCCAAGGGTGCTAGCACCAGATATGTTAATGTAAACATCTACTTCTCAACTTACTGTGTAGCACTCGTCTTTGCTTGTTATCTAGAATATTCTTGTGCTGATCAATAACTGACAACAGCTGTGATACTCTCGAATCGGGAGTGAGAGAGTGATTGCAGTAACTACATTTGACCTCAGGATGTCACAATTCCTCCATTCTTACGCACTGCACCTTTAAAATAATTCAAAATATGTGTTCTTGGTCGGAAAAAATATAAAACAAGCTGCTTATGAACAAAGACGTCTTGCATGATAAAATCCAGTCTCACTGATTTAGTAACTTTCCCGTCCTCAGCTGATCGTTGGTAACTTTGGGCTAAGCAAGGATCAGTCTCGCACTCAGATGGCTCTGTGGGCTATCATGGCCGCTCCCCTTTTCATGTCCACCGACCTTCGCGTCATTAGTGGCGAGGCCCGCAGCATCCTGCAGAACAAAATGATCATCGGCATCAACCAGGACGTCTTGGGCTTCCAGGGAAGGCGCATTCTGAAGGTAAAAAAATGAATAAATAAAAGTATGAAGATGTGTTTTGGGCCTTTCTCATGTATTTTATAAATCAGGAGAAGAGTGGCATCGAGGTGTTCTGGCGCCCCCTGTCGAACAACGCCAGTGCCCTTGTTTTCTTCAGTCGGCGCACCGACATGCCGTATCGCTACAAGACTTCCCTCAGCAAACTCAACTACACCGCCGACAGCTACAAGGTGTGTCTCGCTTTATTCACTCATCTTGCCTTGGATCCTGTCATCAGATTGAAGGGAAGCGTTAAGAAATCACATTATCTCTTGTTGTGATTATTAGTCAACGAATAATTTGTAAGCTTTACTTACTTTTTTTTGGATTCATCAATAAATTCGTAAATATGGAAATATTTACCGATTTATTACGTAATTAGGATATCCTCGGGGCACCATCCCCTTTTAACAGGGGAAAAATGAATCCACACCTCTTATCAACCCATCTAAAGTTCGTAAAATTCTTTTCACGAGCGGCAGTTGTATTTTATATCAACACAAACAGATCACCTGAGACAAAACTTAATTGGCAATAACATTTATTATCTAATATGACCTCTTCAGCTCCTCCCAAAGCGTTTAGCCGATCAACATCAACCAACTTATTTTAGCAAACGAATAACAAGCAATGAAACAATGAGATGATAATGTGACGTGACAATCTGAGGTGGTGTAACCCAAAATGGCCGGTCCTTTGTTCTGCTGACCACAGAGAACTTTGTGTGTGTGTGTGTGTGTGTGTGTGTGTGTGTGTGTGTGTGTGTGTGTGTTTTAGCTGCTTGTCTCTCTAAACAGACATTCAGTGGCTTAGCACTCAACAGTGATGTGGCAAGTTTTCACAGTCTCAATCAAGAACTCTTCAAACCGCTTCACAAAAAACAAAATAAAAGATCAATCAAAGGCAATTGAAATATCTAATAGTTTGTCAGCCTGGCCACAGCATGAAACTTGGATATTAAACAATAACAAAACAAAACGGGCTTACTTTTAAGATGGTCCGATGGCGTATTTTGGTACGGAAGAGAAACCGTCTTTTACTTTAAAGCAATCACGTGGTTTGATCGCTTGTTCTGAACTATAGGAGAAATTGGGAGAGAAAGTGAAAGAGAAAAAAGAAAATCTTGCATGAGCGAACCCCAAGGCGTCCCTTTTGTGTTCGCATTGAGCAGATCAGATGGTGGTTCCGTTGCTTCCAGCAGCTCCACGCCTACGCGTTCGGAGCGGTAGCAAAACGAGTGTCTCCTCACGCCAGTTGAACCCTGGACAAAAGAGAAAGTTTCTGCTCTGCGCAGCAGCTTTATCCAGCCGGCGAGCTCTAGCGGCTGGGGTTCGGCGTCGCTTTGGTGACGTCATCAAGCTGCTGCCGGCTGTAGAGGCTCATGGGAGATGAAGTCTCTGTTTGGCGCTGATTTTTAATATGCCTTATTTCGTTACGCTTCAGGGTGTTTTTGGCACAGTCTTTTGGAGAAATTACTACATAGTTATTTTCTCATGAGGGCAGACCCTCAACACTCTCAACAACGTTCTTTGGTTTCCAGGATTATGTTCAAATCGCGAGTGAAAACTCATTTCTGTCTTCCACCTCCGTAGGTCACTGATGTCTTTACTGGTAAAACCGACATCCTGAAGGACTCTACTGACTTCGTGGTGTCAGTGAACCCAACAGGTGTGGTCATGTGGTACATCTCTGCAGCTGGAAAACTACGCTTCCACCACTTGAGCAGAGATGGAAAACTCCATGGACCTGCCTACGCTGCTAAGGAAAACGCCATTCCCCCCGTCTTCCTTTGATTCCTTTCATTTGTTTTTAGCCTCATCAGAAATGTTCTTACGGAAATCGATGCGTCTGTCTGCTTCCTACCTCAAATTGAAGCTGTTCTTTAAAAATGTTTACTACCACAGTCACAGCTGTTTTCTCAAATGACGAAATCATTGGAGCGTGATTGCAGAGGTTAGGATTTATTTATTTTAAACACACTGATGGATAATAAATGACATATTTTTATATCAGTTGAAATAGGGCTGGGCAATAAGTAGAAAATTAATCGTTTTTGAAATTTCTGACTCTTATTGAGATTATTTTTCCATGTCAGTAAATTTGATAATAAAAAAATGAAAAGATGCGTGTAGGCTGGCAACGTTTGTGTCCCTTTAAGAAGACGAACCTCCTCAAATCACGAAAATTGACTCAACGTAATACATGCAACAGCTCCATCTAGTGGACAACTTTTGTTTCTGCGCACACCTGTAGTTATCGTCCATTTATCGTTATCGAGGTGAAAATCTCTATATATCGTGATATTGATTTTTGGCCATATCGCCCCGCTCTAAGCTGAAACAATCCTGATGAATACATTACATACATACAATACATTTATTCTGAGTTTAAACATTCAAAATTAAGGGTAAGATAAACAACTTTTTTCTCATTTTTTTTGGGTTTAAAAGATGAAGATGATCAAATTTTTTTCTAAAATGGCCACGGTGTGTCTTTTTCTTCATGAATGGGAACATTTTCTATAAGAAATTGTCATTTTTTATGTGCACCAGAATGTTTTGTACAGCACTCTGAGAGGACTTGTTTGAATAAGCTGGATTGAATTAAAATGAGATAAAAGTTTGACTCGAACTCAGTTGTGTGTGAATCTTTTTTATTGAACTGAGTGTCAAAAGTCGCATAATTTAGACATTTTCTATTTCTATTTTATGAAAATTAATCTCAGTTTTAGAAAAGTCTTTGAACAACGTAAGTTTAGAGAAATAACATGTAATTCAGACAGGATTGATAAGCTAACAGTTAGTCAGACTGGGGTCAAGATCAAAGATAATCATTTGGGGATTCCAGGTTGAGAAACATTGAAATGTCATATTTTAAAAATGCTGATGAAAGGGTTAGCTGATGAAAGGGTTAGCCTCATCAGCAAAAGGTCCCGTGCCTTTCCATTTGACATCTCTTCCTTCCACAAGTTCTTTCCTCTTAAAACCTCAAACGTTTAGGTGTTCCTCTTTTAGCTTTCACTTCGTATTTTTTGTTGTTGGTTATTTGAAACTCAGTTCTGCAATAGCACGTGCTTTTGCCCGTGCTGCATTATTTCTCACTGAGAAATCATTGAACTACGGTATTTTTTATCTCTATAAACTCAAATAAATATTTAGTGTGTTTTAAAAACTGGTACTCAACATGAATAAAAATACACTTCCGAACACCTCGTTTTGTCAAACAGAGGCTCGTCTGCGTCATGAAACATCCAGTGGACTACTGAAGAATGGAAAAGGCTGTCTGGTTAAGCATGGTGGAGGAAGCAAGATGGTCTTGGGCTGTTTTGCTGCATTCATTGTAATGATTTAAATGACATGTTATCTAATCAGCTATAAGACGTAGGATTCCATAGGAAATATGAAATCCACCTTATGGATCTGTGGTACTTTTAACCAGAAGATTGGAACTTTTTATTGCAGGGATTAGATAACAGCTTCGTATTCACTCAGAGACGACAGAAGAGAGAGTTGAGTTTAAAAGTTTAAAGATTTATTACTAAACTAATTAAACTAGACTAACTTTAACACTAAATGTATGGTGTAACTAAGGTGGATGAGACGGAGAATGGTGTAGTGTGGAATGTTGCTCAGAACCAGCAAATCCGAAGAAACTATTAGTTCTGATGGGAAATGAAGGTGACGTCTTCGTGCTAAGCTTTGGTTAGGAGATTCTTAAACACATTCGACGCCATTCTGTCGGCCTACGTACCCTTAGAGGAAGTCCCCGTCTAGATCAGGACGTGTAGAGGTCCAGCTTGACCTTTATGGAGCTGAAGCCTGTAGAAACAGCTGCGGCAGCCGACCACCAGTCTGTGAGATACTTCCGGGTCACGACAGTTTTGTTGGCATCTAGCGATACCCAAACCTGGGTCGTGATGGTTCAGCTTTTATTCTGAAAGGAACCGTTGCAGCAGGTGGAACAGCAACAGGTTTTATCCAGCTTGTCGTTGGTTCTTTCGGCTGAAGAGGAAAGTTACGGATTGGCCACTCCGACAACTTCTCTAGAACGCTTTGAACTGGCGTTAGAGATGGCGTGGGCATAGTTTTATACTTCGGATGTTTTGGTTTACGGTCGAATGAAAAGATGACAGATTTACCAAACACCACCAAAACCACGCCTCCGTCAGATCTGGCAGATTCTGATTGGATCAGTAAAGCAATGTGTCATGTGGCTTAACGCTACGTGAGATCAGTCCTAGTGGAAACATTTAAAGTCATATTACTTATTATATTCTATAGGATTATAATAAAGTAATTAATATTTTCATTTCACAGATTGGTCACATCTTATTATTGACTAACACTTTATTTGATTAGCTTTATTAAAATAGAGTTCTTTCATTTATTAAAAGGAGAGAGTCCTTTCTTCATTCTTTTGAGCTGGAAAGAAGCAGTTTATAACAAATGCATGAGACCTTGAGGCCGTATCTCATGCAGACTAGTCCTGTGTCAGAGGAGAGGGGGAACATGACTTTTGGTGGAAAACAGTCATTTCATTCCGTTACATATTATAGCTTAAACTTTTGTAGTTTTTCTGGCCTCTGATTTCAGAGTGCAATGAGACATCAAACTACATACATTCCGAAAAAACACCTGGAAATACTCTAAAAATGTGAGCGTGTGAGAGGTTAGCCTGTCAGGGTGAGCATGTTTTCCTACTCAAATATAAAAAAACATGACATTTATGGAAGATTAACATCCTTTGGTGTTTATTTTGTGACCCAATTCAGTGATCAAGCCCACAAGATCAAAAAAATAATTACAAAAAAACTGGGACATACTGAAAAGTGACAGTGTTCTTAGGGAAGCTCTCCCAGATACTCCTATCAGCTTCAGACGAGCCCCAACATTAAATGATCAACTTGTTCAAAGTCACCTTCCTCCACAGCAACAAAAAACCTGGTTATCAACTCGAAAAGGTGACTATAAACATGGAAATTGTGTTCACTGTGACAACATGACTAACACTAACTGTTTTGCTGATGTTTTCACAGGATGTACTTTTTACATTAATACATTTATCAATTGCAATATGTAGAGAAATAGAGTGATGAAACTATCTAGAGTTGTATTTTAATATACTGTAAGTAGATCACTTGTTATAATCAGAAGAATAGGTTGTTTTTATCATCAGGGAGTTTAATTAAACACCCTGTATTGACTTTGAGACAAGAAAAGAGAGAGAGTTGGGATCGTTTAAGAATCTTTAATTTCTTAATTATAAATTCTTAACAATCTATCAGGACTAACTCTGTGTTGTTTGGAAATGAATGTGATGTTCGATGTGTGTGTGTGTTGGTGCATGTGTGTGTGTGTGTGGTTGGTTCAGACTCCTTAGGCTGACGTCTTTGAATCTGGTAGTCTTTGTTATGACTAGATATCACGAGGCTTATAAAGTGATGACATTAGCCGCTATTTTGCCGTGTACGTACCCAGTGGGGGGCCTCCCAGGTAGATCAGGAAATGCCAGGTCTGAAGACCTCGGATGTGCGCTGGAGCTGGTCGAAACAGCGATCGCAGCGTTTCAAAGCCCGTCTGAAGGGTCGACCCCGGTACCGATCGGCAGCGTCAGCAGGTGCTCTTATTTTGAAAGGATGTCGTCTGGTTGTTAAACGACGAAAATCTCCAACTTCGCAGTTCTTAGTTTAAAGAAGAAAACACATCTGGCCAGGCTGTGCTTCTCTTTGGGATGACGGTGAATAGAACTGAAGTCAAAATGGAACTGAGCTTAAAATGGCGTTGCCTTGTTTTATATCTCTGAATTGTTGATAAGTTTTAGTAAAGCGGATTGGACACTTTAAGTCAACAAGCCAGATTCTCTTGCGGCAGCCGAAAGCTCTGATTGGTTGGAACAATGTGTCATGCGTTTCTATGGAGATGAGGGTCAGTCTGTCTGTGCAGTAGTCCTGTTTTCATTAAACACATAAATCATGACATCTTTATTCCACCGATCATTCACTTGATTATTATTGATCAACATCTGTTTCGACTAGCTTTAATCACAAATTAAGTACTTTGACTATTGAAAAGCGTTCTTCGTCTCCTTCTGGCTCTTCTCCTGGAATGTAAACAGTCTGAGGAACACCCGACCTTGGCGTTTTCTACACGGGTGTTACTGTGTACAGGGGCAGCTGTGTGGAGCTGAAAATAATGAACTTCATAACGTTACAAATACTTCATTTGTGGTCTACAGACTAGAATGCCCATGTGGCTGCTTTTATATTGGAAGAACTAAACGTAAGTTAAAAGCAAGACTTGCAGAGCACAAACAAGCAATCAGATCTGGTAATCCTCTACATCCTATGGCAGTGCATTATAAAGACACAAATCATGGAAGCTGTAACTCTTAAAATCACAGGGATTGAACATATAAAAATTCAATTAGAGGAGGAGATAGGCTTAAAAAACTCTTGCAAAGAGAATCATTTTGGATTTACACACTAAAAGCTACTAATTTCCCAGGTCTTAATGGAGAATTAGATTTAGCTCCTTATTTATAATCTCATGTTTTCTTACAATTTGTGTACCATATTTATAATTTCTCAAATTCTATAAGTGAAATTTCATATTTGTAAGTATTCATTCTTACAATAGGATTGTTTAGATGTAAAAAGTTTTTGTGTTGTACTGGTCATCCAATCAGAATGCAGTCTACCTGCCCAGCTTCGGCAGGTGTTATTGATTGGCCTTTTTAACATGGGGGTGAGTGAGCATACAAACATTTTGATTCCTGACAAAGGCCCTGTGGGCTGAAATGCGTTGGCATTGATGTTTTTAACAATTTAAGCCATGTACCAATAAAGGCTTTTTATTTTTGTACCTCCTGAGTGCCTCAGATCTCCTTTTGCCAACATTTATGTGGATCCCTTGGCTGAAGAGCACTGGTGAGAGCACCAGATAAGGTTTCTCACACCCCTGCAGCACTTCCAGCATTTTTCTATTTGCATCCTTTTATTTAATTTTGTCTTTTTCTAAACCAGGAATGTCCCAGTGAGATTAAACGCCACATTTTCAAGGGAGTCCTGGCCAAGAGGCAGCAAAGATGGTCACAACATTTCTCTGTTACACAAGTGGTTACATACAGAGTTATAGAACGCAGTTACAACACGGGGAATCTGCCTCAAAATTTTAAATTCATCATCCTGTCCAGATTTTAAAATCTAAATAACCACAACTTTGTGTTTTTTGTTCATGCCTACATTGAACCAGCAGAGGTCAGCGTTGCTCCTTTTCCTGCCTGGATGCCAACATGGGCCTTCCAGCTCTACTGGCTGCCAAAAAATGCACCTGCTCAACAGCACGAGGACAATCAACCGTTTCAGTCGCGCCGTTTATCTCGTTACTGTGACTTACTGTCCGACAACACCTTACCTATCTCTGTGCGTGCTCTACATTCTATAAACTCTCTACTTTGTATTTTGTCCTTGTTTTGTCAGATCCTCATTGTATTCGTTCGCTCTCCTCATCTTAACTCCTCCTTTTCTCGCCTCTTTCTCCTCCCACTTGTCTCAGTCTGCTGAATCTCGTGTGTGTCACCTCTGACCTTGGCCTTAAAGCCCCGTGTTTACGTGCACTCTTAATTCACTGCAGCAGTCGTGTAAGAGTTTGCTGCTGCATGCATGTTGTTGCATAAAAACGAGTCAACTTTCGGTTGTGGTTGTGTACACATGCCCCTTCGAGGTCATTTCAGGCCAGACAGGTTGCATGTGCGCAAGAGGGTCTTTGCTTCATTTTCGTCCCCTTTCAGCGGGCTCAGATGTCCGTTGGCTGGCTGACCGCGGCCCGTCCACGTGGTTTGGCAACATGACGTGGGAGAAAAGCGAGAGAGTTATGACTGAGATAATGAGAGAACAGTCCAAGGAGGATTTGCACAAAGCAGGGAGGCGGGTGCCCTCAAAAGTCTATACGAGGGTGCAAATGAGCGAACCAGAAGGGAGGGAGGATTGGAGGAGATGAGAGCAAGCGAGGGATCGGGTGAGGGAGGGGGCGATGAGATGAGGAGAGCGTTCCTGCCGATGCTCACGTAGGCCCACAGCTGCAGAGAGGCACAGTTGCCACTCGCGTCTTTGTGTCGCACCAACACCCCTGATTCTGTTCTGCCGGTCCCTCCCTCCTCCAGACAGCCCTCTCAGTTTTGTCACGCTGCTAGTCACACTCCCTGCCTCGCGCCTCTGAAATCCAACGCACATAAAGGGGCGTTTGACGATAAATGGCTGCACTGACGGGGATGCAGACAGGACTTTGCATACAGGTCAGACTGGTCTCAAAGGAGGCCACATGCCTAGAATCCCTGAGCTGCAGCAAAAGTTTATATTAAAGGTCAGAAAGTTGTGCCTCTGCTGGAAAACTTTTACATTTTATTTTAGGGAAAAAACTGCATTTAAAACTGCGGTTAACAGTCTTTGCACCTGGTCCTTGTGACATCATCGCCCCATCTGATGCAGCCATTCTGCTCGGCTGCCTGCTGACTAGTGACATCACCCTCCTCCTCCTCCTCCTCACACGCTGATGCGGTGCCAGAAAGGTAATATATACCCTGCTATCTCTTGACTCCTTTTTTATCATGTGATTATAATCCTGTTTGACTTCACACCTTTGACCCGCAGCTCATATGATCCACCTGCAGGAACAAGAAAAGCATATACTGGAAATGAGGAAAGCACTGGGAGGATGAAACCGGACAAAAAATGCAAGACAGAATTCAACAATGGGTTCATTTGAGCTGCAATTTAATGCAGTAATTGTCCTGTTTACTAATTATTATACAGTTCAGGTCTTTATCATCGGATTTTATTAAATGCAAATTTTGGAAAGCTAACGAAGCCAATGGATTGTTGGCTTATGCATGCGTGGTTTGTTGGATGACACAACCATCTGCCTCTACCTGCTGAGGTGGACATGGAGGGTTGGGTGGTAGTGGAAGAGGACAGGACAAAGACACTGAGTCAGGTGTGAGCACGACATAAAAATAGGTAAAAAAAATACCCACTAATCTATAGGAGCATAACTAAAGGAATGATCTGGCTCACTTAAAGGGACTTTACGGACTTTTAGAATTTTTATGCTCGTGATCGCCCCCTCAGGCCAAAAGCATAACGGCAGCTTCAATAGTTGGCTCGTGCACGAGGCGCACATGCTGCACGTGCACACTCCTTAACGAAAATAACAGCTGAGACAGTCCCGTGTGTGTGTGTGTGTGTGTGTGTGTGTGTGGGGCTTTGAGGACAGAGGACAGGAGAACGTGCAGCTAATTAATTAAATAATGTGGTTCTGTACCTTTCTCTTCAGCACAGCCGACAAAGGTTTATGATGGGTCAGTCCTCCTGCATGCTCACATCATTCCCTTCCCTTGCTGGAAAAATTGTTCTAAAATGAAAGTTGAACCCACATCTTTTTTATCTGTGAATTCAATGCCGTTCGGCGAGTCTCAAATAAAAATTTGGGCATCTTACTGTAAAAAAAATATACCATTAATGTAAAAAAGAAACTCTAAATAAACTATGTTCACATCCAGAATCAAACCCAGGTCTTCTGCATGGGAGTCACATTTTGAGGATGTTTAGGACCCAAATATGCAGAAACCCAGGATGACACGAGGCTGGAGATGATGTAAAGTATAAATGCTTTATTTTGCAGGACGAACAAAAATAAATCCAAAGGCAGCGAGCCAAAAGTCCAAAAATCCAAAAACCCTGGTAACAAAACCAAAAGCTCACTGAGAGCACCAAAACCTGGAGACACAAGCTCAGCTAGAGCACGAAACAACGCTGACAAACATGCAATGGACCGACAACAACACAGAGACAAGACAGGGCTTAAATAGACTGGGAAGATGAGAGGGAAATAATTGCAGGTGTGTGGGGGGAGGGACCAGGTGAACACAATTACTAAATCAGGGAGGAGGAAGAAAACACTGGTGGGAAAAACACACTAAATACTGAAAGGCTGTAACAAAGGAACATGACCTAAGAGAAAAACAAAAGACCAGAAAGCAAGAACCAGGACTAATATACTAAGGGGAAGCTGACACTAAAGGAAAACACCATAGACAGAAACAACAGGGGCGTGGCTAAGAGGGGGCCAAGAGAGCACAGGACTTGGGAAAGGGATGTCTGAGGGGGGAAACCTCAAGGGCAAATGGGTTACACCAGGAGACACATGAGGAGGACGCAGACATGACACATGAGGGCGCTAGAAGACACAAAAGGAGCACCTAGAGAGGATGGAGAAACACCAGGAGGCACACGAAGGAAGGGGCAGACGTAGACCATGACAGTGGGAGTCAGACATCTTACAAGGTGAGCTAAAGTGCCAGTGATATTCACAGTATCTGTAACGTTTATATCCTTGATGGCAGCTGAAACAACGTCAAACCAAAGAGCGGTTCGGAGTGAAATTAGCAGGAAATATCTAGAAGAAAGTTCTACAGAAAGTAGCTAAGGGTCCTCAGAAATGTAGCTAGCTTTGTCACTAGGCGTTAGGAACAGCGACAAAGTGGCACTGCCTCTCTCTCTGCTGCTAAAGCTACGGATAGCAAATGCTACGGGCGATGCCTGAGCGTGAACGCGCATGAAGCAGCCTGCTCGACCCGAGCATCTCTCTTTTTCTGTGATTTTACAGAAAAACAGGCAATCACAGTAAAAATGCCAGGGCTCATTCTACAGGACCAGGGCATTGTAGGAGAACGTATGAAGAAGACATTTATTATTTCTATACATGTTTTGGCTGTCACACTTCCTTAGTGCCCCTTAAAACAAACCCAAATAAAACCTTCATGTAAATTAATGTCTCTAATACGGGTGGTGTCTACTTCCTGTGTCTGGATGGTTTAGTGAGGAATCCAACCAAACTCTACAGGAGCTTCACATATCAAGAAAATTGTTTTTTATGCTCTTTTTCAAAGGGAAAATGTAAGATTCTTCCTCAAATTGATGATTTTTCCTCCAAGTTGATAGTTTTTAAATACTTAAAATTAAAAAAAAAGTCTACCTGACCTCAGCAGGCCCACGTGAGGAGAAAGACGAGCAGCTGGAACTAGTTTAGATATTGGATCTGGGTATTTCATGACACGAGCAAAACCACCTTAAGTTACAAACAGGTAGCTACTTTTACTTTCTGTCTGCTCATGGTAAGATAATCCCTCACAGTTGCTTTGAAGGGGGAAAAAAACTGGTTTTAACTTGAAAAACTAAAAAAAAAAAACCTAGAAAAGGGTGTGTCCCTTCAAATGAAACATATTCCTTAGTCTGAGTTAGTTCCAGCTTCAACCCGATGCCCCGTTCCTGTAGATGAGACATGATCCATTCCAGTTAGAGCCGGGTTAGCTCACATGAATCATTGATTTCTCCTCTTTTTGGAAATTCCACACCAGACACACTATTTTGATTTCAAGCAAACATGGAAAGTCTGAAAAAGATGAGCAACCGGGAACTCTTGAAGGGGATTGGTGTAATGTCTGCACGTCTCTGACGTCTTTTCCTCTGCGTTTACTTCCTAATGCATCCGGTGATGACCAGGCACCGCCCACTCCTGGTTGGCTGGTTACACACCCATCTCGTCTGACGGACTCCGTGACCTTTGGAGCATGATGTGTTGCAGCTGAAGCTCCTCCTTTACATCTAAACGGGGTTGATGAGTTAAAAGTCATCCTGTCTTGTCTGCATTAGCTCCAGAGGAGGTCCTGCTAGCTGTTGTTACAGCTGGAGTGAGAATGTGTTCATACGTCTCCTTGATAAAAAGGCACATGGAAACCGTCATGCAGAGAAGGGGGGGGGGGTGTTGCTGATTCATGCCTGCCATGTCGGACTCATACGATTGTGTACTTGCATGATGCGCAACACGTCTAAATTTTCATGAATGAGCGTCTGGGCTTGTCCGCCAGTGGCTGCTGTTGACTCAGTGAAACAGGCGCGCCTTGTAACGGTTTCCACGATGCTGCTGTGTACGAGGCAGGCAGCACGTTGCCGTGGCTTTGGGTTTTCATGGCAACCAGCCAGCCTGTCAGCTGCCTTCCTTCTGGTATCCTGCGTGGATCAAAGTCAGAGACTGCAGCCAATGCTCTCTCTCTCTCTCTCTCTCTCTCTCTCTCTCTCTCTCTCTCTCGCACACACACACATGCAGTATCATGATCTCATTCTTTCCCCTTAACTTTATATCTTCCCCCTTTTTTGACTTTCCACACTCTGAACTTCTCAAGTTCTCTCCCTCAGATGCATTTACATCTTAGACCACACAGTAAACTCTAAAGACAGGCGTCTCTAAGTGTGTGTGTGTGTGTGTGTGTGTGTGTGTGTGTGTGTGTGTGTGTGTGTGTGGTCGGTCATTCCTGAGCCCGTTGGGTTCCCCCAGACATATTCCAATGCATCTCTGGGCAGAGGGACGGCATCTTTTCATTTTTGGAACAGATTATGGTGAACACAGCAGCAAGATTTGTCCAAGGAGAATGGCTGGAGAGAGAGAGAGAGAGAGAGAGAGAGAGAGAGAGAGAGAGAGAGAGAGAGAGAGAGAGAGAGAGAGAGAGAGAGAGAGAGAGAGAGAGAGAGAGAGAGAGAGAGAGAGAGAGAGAGAGAGAGAGAGAGAGAGAGAGAGAGAGAGAGAGAGAGAGAGAGAGAGAGAGAGAGAGAGAGAGAGAGAGAGAGAGAGAGAGAGAGAGAGAGAGAGAGAGAGAGAGAGAGAGAACTCACACAGGAAAATGGGTGGAGGAGTGTGTGTGAGGACAAATAACGAGGTGGTGAGAGTAAAAACAAAAGGGTTTATTAACAACAGGTGTCCGCTGCTAACGGCACGAATAAGGCTCAGTAGTACTGGCGATTAAAAGGTGGAAACTGAAAACATGAGCAGACTAACTGCTTATTAAAAAGGCCTTCTGCCTAACTTAAGTCACAACCACCTAAATTCAAAATACGACTGGCATGTATTTATTTGTTAGTTTGAGGTGAATGAATTAGTTGGAGCTGCTTTGATAATTGCTGCATTTTTGGCAAACGCTGTACAAAAACAGTCGAGTGCAAGAAAAAAAAACATTTATGGAATTAGTTTGCAAACCTGTTACAGACGGCCAATAAATATGGAGGCATGATCGGTCAGCGATGCCTCTCCTAACCTTTAGTCTGGCTGGTGTCCCCCCCCCCCCCCATGCAGGATCTTCTGGCCTATTTTCGTTTGGGTCTATCAGGATTTTCTCTGTTTGATGCAGTTGGATTCTTCGGCTCGTTGGCCTTTGCCATTGTCGGTTCTTGTCTGTCACTCCGTCAGGTGGTCTGCTAGAGAGTCCCCTTCTGAATGACGGTCTGTCAATCTGTCAGGCGTTCGATCGCTATCGCTATGATTAACGGTCCAAGTGACCGACTCCTGAGGTTCACGAGAAGGTCAACATTTCCAGATGATAATTTAATTTACCCCAACCTGATATCTGCTCAGTTGAAATCATCCGCTCCACACGAGGCCAACTTCACCCAAGCTAACTGGGTAACGTGGAGCATTGTGTTTGATTTAATGTTCATACTCTCAGGTTTAAAGACAAAACAATATCTATTGCTTGACAGCAAGAGGGTCGCGCCTGGTCACACAGAATGTGCATGTTCTTTCCTGACATGCGTGGGTTTGATCTGGTTACTCCGGTCTCCTCCCATGGATCAAAAATGTCAGGTTAACGGGGACTCTATGTCGCCTCTAGGTGTGAGTGTGTGACTAGTTGTGTGTCCACGTGCCTCTGTGGTGGACTGGAGACTTGTCCAGGGTGTCCCAGACAACTCACTCAATAACTACTGAAGTTAGGCACCAGCTCCTTGTGACCCTACTCAAGAAAATGACTTACAAAGAAGTTGGTTTTGTTTTGAAATC